CTGTGCACGAAGGGATGGCGAGGCGCAGTAAGTCAACCCGGGATCCGCGTGGCCCGTCCATGGCCACAAAGGACTCATGGCAGGGGAGGGTGCAGAGCTGGGTCTTCTGGGTCCCACCGGAGAGAATCAAAAAAAAAAACCAAAACAACCCCTCTGACTGAAAGCAAAGGAAGAAAACGATGTCAAGCTTTGGGTGGTACAGTTTTGGGGTTGAAGGCCAGTGTCAGGGAAAGGTTGGTGGGAGCCAGGGAACAGCAGTATTATCAAATAATTAACTGGCTTTGATGATCCTCAAGGGCATTTCGGCCAAGGTCTGCAGGCTGGTTTCTTTGTGGCAGCTACTTGCATGTCCATCCTCTCCGTCTGCCTGTAGGGTTTCCGGGCTGCTCGTCATCCACGAAGAGCGTAACGAAGCCTAACACGCACCCCTGCGTTTCAGGTAGGAAGGATACGGGTCCCTTGGGTTGGCTATTTTGGAGGCCTCTGCACGCACCGGCCACGGTGCGGGGCTGGATCCAGGCACGGCAGCTCATCCCGCTCCCCGGCGCTCCTCTCCTCGCTCTTGCCCGGGGCTAACGCTGGGGTCAGGCTCCGAGGAGGAAAACTGGCTCGAAGGGCTTTAGAGGAAAGAAAAAGCCCATCAAGGGAAGAAGGTTGATCACAAAACCCCTTCACCATAATTGTTTCCAAGATCCCAGAATATGACTCTGAGCTTCTTAAATCATGCTTCAGCCTCCTAAAGAGAAGTTTGGCCCCAAATCTTTTTCTTAATATTTCTTTTAAAGAAAAACCTTGAAAAACCCGTTTACAGCTAAGCGCAGCATATCAGAGAGAAGCAGTTTTCCTTCTTTTGCCAGCCTCCTCTCTTCCACCCCGCTGAATATAGTTGAGTGGAATAAAAAAATAAGGTGGAGGTCTGGCCTCAAGGAGCAATGCATTTTAAGCTTCAGTAATCTGCTTAGATTGGTACAGAGCCTCAGCCGCTGGGTATACTTAGACTTTTACCAAAATTTGCTAGGACTTTGCAAAGGTGGCAGAAATAAAGCAGGTTTAAAAAAAAAAAACAAAACCCCCGAAACAAAACCCAACATTCACCCGAGCGACCTTGCGGGCCTGCTTGCAGCACGTGCGCCTTCTCCCAGGGAGGTTGGGTGGTTCCCGTCCCTTTCCCCAGCGCTACGCGGCTGCAGGCAGGGCCCCGCACTCGCTCTGAGCACGTTCCCGTGTTTTTTGCAGGAAGCTGCTGCTCCAGGCTTGAGGAGATGGTTCTCCTGCTTCAGGGAGCAAAGCAGTCAGCTCTCAGCGGCTGAGGTGTGGCGAGAAGGATGGCGACCTGAAGTGCCTAGAAGCCATCTGGTATTTCATAGCCTTCAGACAGTGAAGACTAACAAAAGGTTTCTGCTCTGAGTTTGTTTCTCTAAGCACAGCTCCTTTCAGTAAGTAACCAGCACTGATCTTCGCTTCGCCATATCCCCAGAGTTTTAAAGCGAGTCTCCTGGCTGCCCAAGAAGCTGAATCAGCTGAAAACCACCAAGAAGCTCCTGGGTTCTACCGGGCACACCGTGACGGCGGCAAGACGTGCTGTGGCCAAGGATTTGCTGACTTGCTACGAAGAGGCAAACCCTCTCCTGGCCCCGAAACCTTAATTCCACCCATGTTGCTTGCAGCAGGGTAGAGCTAAACCAAGTCTGCCACTCCTCACCCCAATCCCACCAGAAGCCTGGGGTGGTCCTGGAGCACGCCAGCTCCAAAGACAACTACTGACTGTCTCCAAACCTCCTGCCCATCCTCATGTCGCCACACGCAGCAGCAGGACAGTCTGTGCAGGCATTCACGAGTATTGTCATCTAAAGGGATGGCAGGTTCTAATTTATACAGGAGACCAAAGCACTTGCGGCGTAATCCTACGTATTGCACGAAATAATAGTGCGTGCACAGGAAAGGTGGGAACCACTTTTTCTTCTCTCACAAAGCTTCCACCAAAGCCCATGCCTCTGGTGCCATCGTCACCAGCAAGGAAAAAAAAAATAAAATTTAAAACTAATAGGTGGCTGAAAGAAACTCCATGTAAAAGGCAGCTGGTGGAGTGAAAGACCACGCTGTGTTCGTACGGGGAAATTTATACACCAGCCATTCGGCGTCTAGAAAATGAACCATGTTTCAAAAGAACGGACCTAATTCCGTCACTCTTGTAGTACTTTGCGAAAGCTTTATAGAGCACGTCTGAGAGACGGATTTGCGGGATCAAGCCCCAGGACTCTTAATTAATTAAAGAGTTTAAATAATTGAAACGGGCAGTCTCTTGACTCTCCTTAGCATGGCTACCTGCTCGAGAGCTGACAGAAATTATGGGGAAAAAAAAAAATAAAAATCATACGCAAGAGGCCAGCGTTATCACCTTGAAGAAGTCGTAACAGCTTGAACAGCTCCACAGAGCAGCCACCGAGAGATGCCAGCAGCCCTCAGGAGGCCACCACGACGGGAGGAAGGCAGCGAAACCCCATCGCCAGGGAGGGCGGGATGCTCGGGAAGAGTCGTGTGGTCAAAGCAGCAGCAGAAACGCAGCGAGGATTGAGGAAAGCCAGAATTCGCTGGCAATTTTTGACCATTAACAGGCTAAAGACGCACACAGCGACACACGCCAGAGAGGACCCTGCCGCTGAGCTTTTCTACGGAAAGCTACTGAAGCTCGGTAGCGCTCGAGTTGTCCCGGTCCGGCCATACAGCAGCCCCTCGACTCAAACCGGGCTTGACAGGAGACCGGGAAGCGAGCAGTTTGCAGCAGTCAGGAACGGCTCCCACCTGAAGAAGATCCCACGGCCTCACAAACGCTGCCGGGAAAGCCGCCCTCGCTGGGAGTGCTCACACCCAGTCCTGCGCCAGTAACACAAACTCCCGGGTCTCCCTCTTTCTCTCTCTCCCCCCCGATGGGTTCTCCCCACCCGCTGCCCCATCCACGGCCCAAAAGCCAAAGGAAAATCCCGCGCGGGGCAGGAAGCGCGAGGTGAGGAAGGTGTTTTGCCTTTTTTTTTTTTTTTTTTTGACATATTCTAGGTACAGCACAGCACCGAGAGGGAACAAAAATCTTCTGATGTGGATTGTCAAACCCCACTGGGAGTGAACACTGGAGGAAATCTCTTTCGTCAAGAAATTCCCTAATGTTTTAAACATTTTCAAAAATCACAGGTGATTTTTTGAGGGATGTGAAACCTTTTACAGGGATGTGATTTTTCAGAGAGCCAGTGAAAAATGGCCAACACTGAAGGGCTTTGGGCTGTGTGCCCCACTCAAGCGTCAGCCACGGCAGCAGGAGATGCTGCTCTGCAATCTCACGGTCTGTTCCACATACATCACCCCCATGAGAGCAACGAAATCAATACAGGACAGACTCCTACGGCCCAACACAGTTTCTCCATGGGATGCAGCCCTCATAAAGTGTCAAATATTGGCACAGGTAACCATCTCCTTTGAAATAATAAATACCAAAAGCGTATTTTTTTTCCTTAAGGTTTTTTTGTTCAGATTTTTTTTTTTTTAATCATGATAGCATTTGTTAAAAATATTACATCTACTTCTGAGAAGGCAGTACCCTCTCTGTGTAATATGGAAAAATAAACTCTACAGGACACGCACCAAATGATAGCCCCAGCTGGCACAGAGCTGCTTTGAGAGATCAGAGCCACAGACTCATCCGCACAGAGGGCTGGTTTCGCCTTCCCTGTCCCCAGACTCTTAAAACAGTGCGCTGTAGGAATGGTACAAGACAAGAATACATAAAAACAGTAAAATGTTTATTTTCTTAGAAAAAAAGAGATTCAAAATGATTGTGATCACACTCCCATTCGTGCTCAGCAAAGCCAATACTGCAAGCTTAGTCCTCGATTAAGATACCTATTAAATGAAACTCTTTTTCCTCTTTAAAATACAAATTCCTGCTCCTGCATCACTTCCAGTATTTCAGTGATAACATGCTTTTAATGGATAATAGTTTCTCAGCTTCTTCTCAGCAGAGAAACAAGGCTTGCCATGGCAAAAACATCCCGTCTCCAAAGCGTGAAATCACCAGCATTAATAAGCACTCCGGCCCCAACGCGGACTGACAGACAGCTTAAGGGTGTTTCGTAGATGCTTGAATGTTCACTTATGGAAGCTTTGTGTAACACTACCTCATCTGATAGAAAACAGGCCAGAAGCCTCAATAAAACCAACAACGTCTTTTGGATTAAACTTTAAGGATTTGCTGCGTATCTGGACACAGAAAAAAGTGAGAAGTTGCAACAAGTTTTAACTAGCAGCAACAAAAACAGTTCCTTATGAGTTCTTAGCGATATTCCTCATCTGTTCGTTAAGAAACACTGTAACTGAATGGAGCATATAATGTGGACATGAGCTTCTTCTGGTATGTAGTGCTGTTCGCTCTAGAAGACTTCCAAAAGGTCTCGACTGGGTTGTAATCTATTTACACAGTAGTAACTCCTGGGGCGAGCGGCAGAATTGGCACTATGTGACGTCCTCCTCTTCTGAACAATAATCACGACCCTGTGAGGAGAAAAGCCAGGCAGTTTGTAAATGAGTACTTGAAGACAGGAATAACGTAACTTACTACTACTAATATTTATCCGGTCTTTAAACTTAAAGAGGTTTAAGGTCAGAGCTGGGTAGAAGCCTTGAAAATAGGGAAAGGAGATGATACGTCCTGTCCCTCACGAGCTGTTTCTTGCAAAGACGGGACCCGCTGTCCTCGTTTCTCTACGCAGGAACAGCCGGAGCTGAGCTCTTCAACGCACAAGCCAGCCAAGGTACAGTGTGTAAAGTAAGTGTATCACTGAGCGCTTGCACGGAAAATCCCAGCCGCTGAGCAACGGGACGGCAAAGAAGAAGAAGAAAAGGAGGCACACCAGAGTCTCAGACCTGCAATGAAGCGTAAAAGCTCGCCAACACCCTCTAAGCAGAAGAGACCAACTCAGTGGTGGTAAAATAGGTGAAACTCTACTATCCCAGGGGTACCCAGTTACCCCATAAAGCAAAAATGGTCAATGGCCCATCTGGAGAGAGGAGGGGGGAAGAAAACGGTGAAAAAAGGAGAGAAATAGTTCTTGATGCAGCGATCAGTTTATCTGGGGTGCACAGCTGGGGTACACGCTGGGAACCACGGCTCCAAAATGGCTCTGCAATTAAACTCCCACCGACGCCGCCGGGCTTGCGGAGCACGCTTTGCTGGAGGGGCCACAACAACCCAGGAACGTGCGGTGCTTTAACAGCTCTCCCCGACCCGATGCTGTTAGTAACGGGGCTTTCTTAGTATGGTAAAAAAAAAACCAACCCAAGAGACTAAGCAGCCTTAATTTCAATTCAGCAATCACTGACCCAGAAAGAAAGAAAAACAATACTTTTTTTTTAAAAAAAAAGTAAAAGGTTTAACATGGAAAGAAGGAATGCTGAAATATGTTCAGCAAAGCCCAAATCCATCAGTTTTTCTCCCTGCTGGGGACCACAACACATTTGGACAAAACCACAAGACTAAGCTGGTGGTGATGAAGGTTTTGTCCAACATGTGTCAGAGCCGTCAAAGCCGCCGGTAGCGAATGACGAGTGAGGCTCAGGGCATTTCCAGGAGGTGCATCTATCCGGCTCCTCGGCCTCCACTCAAGAGGGAGCCCCGTCGCCCATCGTTCCCCAACACGCTCTGCACCAAGTGCCAGCCGTGCTGTTAAAGGCTCAAACAGACCCAAAACACTGAAGAAAGCCATCTTGCCTACCTTTCCTCCCATTCCTCCCGCTGTTCTTCTCATTCCGAGTTCACTCTGTGGCAACCGAGTGCATCTATCCGGCTCCTCGGCCTCCACTCAAGAGGGAGCCCCGTGGCCCATCGTTCCCCACCACGCTCTGCACCAAGTGCCAGCCGTGCTGTTAAAGGCTCAAACAGACCCAAAACACTGAAGAAAGCCATCTTGCCTACCTTTCCTCCCATTCCTCCCGCTGTTCTTCTCATTCCGAGTTCACTCTGTGGCAACCGAGTGCGTCGCTCCTCAAAAGGATGCCAAGAAACCCCAGAAACAGCAGCGTGCTGAAGGAGCCCTCACCACGGTGTGGAAATACCACCTCTCGCCCACCCCTGAGGGCTGCCAGGAGCTGCCGCCGCCAGGCGCTCTAATTCCACCTTCACGCCGGCAGGGATGGAGGCACGTCGGTGTCTCGGAGGTGGCCTTCAAGGCCACCAGCGGCGGGCAGGGATGCTGCCGCCATCCCAAGGTTTTCACCAGCCTGCCTGCTCGCGCGAGCGCAGCCCTAAGGAGGAGGAGGGCGAAAACTGCCCGAAATCCCAGAAACACCTCCCGTGCCGTCCTGCAGCGGCTCTTCCACCCGCCGAGCCCGGCACAGACCCGCGCCCCTGACCCGACCGGCTCATTCGATGCCCAAACCGCGGTAACGCCCGACAGCAAGACGAGGAGCCCCGCTGCAGCCCGAGGCGGCTGTATTTTTTCGCGGGGAAATGCTCCAGAGCTGCCCAGCAAGGCGTGAAGCGTCCCGGTGCCATTCGGCGGGGCTAAGCGCGTCTCTAAGTGCGGGGAAACGGCATTTCGACCCTGGAGCAGGTCACGAGCAGAAAGTTAAGCAGATGCTTTAGCATCTTCTTGATGGAGGGCTCGTGACAAGTGAGGTCTGAGTAAATACAAAGCAATGGGTATTCATCCTCCTAAGAAGGGGAGGAAGGGAGAAACCGTGCTACAAAAAAGCCAAAAAAGCTACAATTGCCTTATTTATTTCTTGGTTTAGACAAAAGCTTTTGTCTAAAGCTTATTCCCTAACTGAAGTTGCATCAGGAAGAACAAGGTCAGTGTTCCTTAGGAAGATCAGAGAAAGGCTAAAGCTGCCTGCCCCGCAGCATTGTACAGCCGACCCTTGGGGGCTTCTCCTTGGAGCTCCTCGGGCAGCCCGGCAGGAGAGGTCTGCATCTCCCCCCCTGCGCAGCACGAAGGCTGCTTGGCTCCTGATAAGTACCATGGCCTAAATCCAGCGAAATATTTTAAAAAATGTCAATTTTTTACCCCCTTTTTGTTTCAGAAGATGTTTGACAGATGCTGGAGGAGACAATACCTCAAGTGTGCTTGAGATGGGGAATTGTCCTGGTGGGGCTGGGCAAAACCTCAATGGAAAGAGCGAGCCAAGAGCTTGCAAAGCTGATGGGGTCTTCTGAAGAAACCAGACTGAAATACTGACCACGTGAAGCAGCCGTCAGACGATGAGCTCCACGACGTGAGCAGAGGAGCTCTGGTAGTAGCTGAGTGCAGACCGGAGTGATGGTGGGGTGGGTTTGTGGGGGTTTTTTTGGAGCAGATGTGCATCAGGAAGGAAAGAAGAAAGCAGAGAAGGTGACAAGCCCCACCAAACAGAAAATGAGGGTGCAGGATCGCCGGCCAAACTCTGTCCCTGCTGCCCAGGGGAGCAGGCTCCCGTGTGCAGAGGAGCCACGGGCACAGAGCTTGTGGCTAATAACCGGAACGTACGGGCCACCCTTTAACAGCCCTTAATACCACGGGCTATTAACTAAATTGTAATGATTGAGAGTGTAAATGGACTGCACCGAGGGAGCTGAGAACGGGAACACGTGCAGACAAGCCCATGGCATCCCAAGAAATCCTGTCTTCCTCCCCTGCAACTTTTTAAGATATCCACAGAAACGCCTTAACCCAAGCGTGTGAAGTTAAGGTAACACAATTACGCTCCTCAGCTGCTCGTAGCAAAGCTGGAGCTAACGGCTCCCGCCCCCCCCCTCCCCCCCCCCCGGCGCGGTCCCCTGCTCCCCCCCCCCCGCCCCGCTCCATCTAGAAGGCGCCGCCATCCTGATGCCCCTAGCCGGGCATGCACCATGGCCAATGATATCCTTTTAGAGAAGTAAGAAAAAAAAACAAAAAAAGGAAAAAAAAAAAAGGAAAAAAAAGAAAAAAACCCCACAGGAAAAGCGCTTTCCCCCATTGTTGCGGGTGACAGGCCAATAAACAAAACCCCGCTGCAAAAGCCTTCCCGGTTCAATAGCCTTTTGTGCGGCCGAGGGAGAGGAGGCAGCTAAGGAGATGCTTCTTCCGCCACGGCTCCGCGGCTTGGCACCAGCACCCTCGCGCCGCGGCCCTGGCGAGGAGAGGAGGAAGAGGAGGCCGGCCCGGGAGAGGGAAATGAGCTGCACCAAGCAGCCCTTTCTTTCGCGACGGCTCAAAGAGCTCGCGGGACACAGTGGCCCCTTTCAGGGGGGATGGCCGGCGCTGGGAAACGTTAGCCTGGCTCTGCGGTGGGAACCCTTTTCATCAAGCTGGTTTTGTTTACAGCGCTCGCAGAAAGGATGGGAAGAAAATGCCGGGAGGCGGCACTAAATAATTGTCTACTGTGCTAATTTTTGTCCGTTTCTTATTTTGTTAGAGAAAAATCAATAGAGTCATTAAGAGCAATGCACTTTGCTAATGAGTTTTAGCGTAATAGTTCTGTCCTTGCATACATTTTGGTTAGCAACCCCCCTTATTTCTAACAGCACTCTTTAAATACGACACAAGAGGCTGCATTGTGTCTCCCCCCCCCCCCCCATTACATCTCAAC